TCTACATAGCTTGCTTTTTATTGGAGAATATAGAAGAGGATTGTACGAGGGTTGGTTGAGAAATAAAAGTGTGAAACAGCCCTCTGCGGTTCTCTTCAATTTCCTCTCCTTTTGTTTATGGAGGATAATAGTTGATTTTTAGCACGGTTTTGATTTGAAAGCGTAAAAAGAGTTTATATAGGGGTTGGTTGAGAAATAAAAGTGTGGAAGAGCCTTTATTTACATACCGGCAGTTCTGCTCCGTTCTTTTCACTCTTGTTCATGAAGGATGGTAGTTCATTTCGATCGGGAAACATAGGAGGGGATTGTGTAGCCAGTGTTACAGAAATGGAAGTGTGAAACCGCCTTTTTTATAAAATAATTCTTCGAAAGATAAATGTACGTATGGCTGGAGGTCTTATCAGGACGTTTTGTTCGACGTTCCATGTGTTCCTTTGATTCCCTGGAAGCCACGTTCGCAGTACTGGGTCGATAGCTGTTGAATAAACAAAGGGGCTCTGGGTGGTCAGTGAACATTGAGAAGATCCTTGAACGGAGGGTTAAACAAAGCGTTCCATATTTATCAATAAAATTGATTCCATCGAAAATTAACGCACCTCCAATTATACACCGTCATTCATAAATTCTAGGACACCCGTTACGTTACATTCTTCGTCAGACTTAATACTACACCTGTTACAGAAAGTGTTTCGCCATATTTTACAACAGCGAAAATTATTTACTACGTTCGTCATAAATGAGTCATCCGGTATAAGTTCCCTTGGAACGTTAATAATTTCCTAACGACTCTTCAGATTTGCCTCACATTCGGCGAGTAAGTAAGTAACAAGCGCTTGATCATCGTCGATCATAACCGAGGGTTGAAATAAATTTTCACCAAAGTTCCAACGACTCGTGAAACTTAACTTTTACCGCGAACTTCGATACATCTTTCTGCCAAACGTCGCGGCAAGTTTTTCAAATGCAGAAGAACACGCGTTGCAAGGACCCCGAAGGAGGCGTCTATTTTAAAGAGGAGTCTGCGCCCGGAGGAATTATTTACGGCGCGTCCCATTTACTTTCGCAGTTTCGCCTCAAGTGGGACTCGGTGAAGGTGGCAGAGCCCCTCTAGCGCGGTTCAATCAACCGGCCGATGGTCAATTTAGCATGGGCACAGGCCTCGCGAGAAATGGATTTCATCGAAAACGTCCGTTTGCTTCGAGAAAAATCCTCTCGAGCATAGGAATCCCATTCGTGCTCGCGTATTATACATACGTACTGTACGTACGTGGAATATATACAAGGTCGCCTTGATGGATATCCTTTCGAATCGGGAGTTTCGACGAGAAAGATGTATTTCTGTTAAACCTACAGGAAAATTGAATCATTTTTCCGAATCTACAGCGATGGAGATATCAACGGCACACTCGTCGATATTTCTTTTCAATTTCGAGCGATGAAACAATAGTCGAGTTTCTACAGGGTGGTTCAAAAGTAGGTTCATTGTTTTGGAAGATTTATTTTCAAAGGAAAATACCTAACCTCTCATTTTTAGATTGAGAGAAGATTTCAGTGTTGTAGTCGGAGTGAATCCAATCTGGGTGTACATAAAAATATCCCTATAGGGTGTTTCAAAAGTATGCTCAGTTTTGTGAGATTTATTTTAAATAGGAATAAAGACACCGTTCATTACTTTATTAGGAAAAGAAGATTTCGGTGTTAGAGTCAGAGTGAATCTAATCTAGGAATACATAAAAGTATCTCTACAGGGTGTTTCAAAAGTACGTTGCCTGCCTTGGAAGATTTACTTCAAATAGAAATAAGGACACCTTTCATTTCTTTATTAGGAAAAGAAGATTTCGGTGTTAGAGTCAGAGTGAATCTAATCTAGGAATACATAAAAGTATCTCTACAGGGTGTTTCAAAAGTACGTTGCTTGCCTTGGAAGATTTACTTCAAATAGAAATAAGGACACCATTCATTTCTTTATTAGGAAAAGAAGATTTCGGTGTTAGAGTCAGAGTGAATCTAATCTAGGAATACATAAAAGTATCTCTACAAGGTGTTCCAAAAGTATGCTCACAGTTTTGGGAGATTTATTTTAAATGGGAATAAAGGCACCTTCTATTTCTATATCGAGAAAAGAAGATTTCGGTGTTGCAGTAAGACTGAATCTAATCTAGGAACACGTAAAATTATCTCTACAAGGTGTTCCAAAAGTATGCTCACAGTTTTGGGAGATTTATTTTAAATGGGAATAAAAGCACCTTCTATTTCTATATCGAGAAAAGAAGATTTCGGTGTTGCAGTCAGACAGAATCTAATCTAAGAACACACAGGAGTATCTCTACAGGGTGTTCCAAAAGCACACTCGTACACGTGGAAGGCTTTATTTTGGACCGTTAGACGGAAATAAAGACTCTTTGTACTTGAACGTTGGAAAAAAAAAATAAAGAAAGAAGAAGCTTTAAGTCCCGGAGTTCCGTGTACGTTCCTTTTTAAAGACCTAACCTATAGGCACATAGGCGTACGTGCGTGCACGCGTGTACACGCTTTGAAAGGAGCGTTGTCTTTCCATTGTACGGAAACGGTCCAACAAACGTATTTCAATCCGAGAAAGACGCACCCTTCTATCTGGAATTTAATATTCTTCAACCGCGAAGCTAGAAGTAACGAGAAGATGGCCGAAAACAATGCCTTTTAATCTAAATCTGAACCACCTCTAAATGTCTCTTTTATATTCCGCAGCTCAACAACCGTAAAAGTAATGTCAAAATTCTTTCTCAAGAAGATATTCCATAAGGCAAAAGAAATTTAATTAAATCTACACCATCCCTATTTCTAAATACCTCTTACATTTCACCATTCAACATTTAACAATTACAAACAACAAATTTTAAGATGAAAACCTCGAAGTAATCCAAAATTCTCTCTCAAAAAAATATTCCTCAGCCAAAATAAATTAATTCTAATCGAAACTACCCCTATTGCCTAATATCTCTTACACCATTCAACATTTACAAAAACAAATTTTAAGATCAAAACCACGAGGGAATGCAAAATTACGTTTTAAAAAAATATTCCTTAGCCAAAGAAAAATTAATCCAAATCCAAACCACCCCTATTTCCAAACGTCATGCATTCTACGTTCAACAACCGCGAAAAAGAACAAAAAAAAAAAAAAGCCACAAGTGTAATACCATTCAAAGCCCGAAAACAACAATCACAAAAGGCCGGACCACGAGTAGGACCAATCGCAATTCCTACATTTCCCCTTTCTCCAAAACGACCGTTCCATAGAACCACACGAGGCACACACGGTGCACGCGTCATCCGGATTCGATCAATCAAGAAAACCGAACGTTGGTCGGTTCGTTCGCTCGGGATTCCGTGTGGCGTGCGTGGAACACAAAGGCGGGCACGAGTTGCAGGATCGATAACGCCTTCACAACGCTACCGGACGTTATACGTGGAACGTGGCGTAGAGCACGATGACCAACACGGTCGTGTCCTCTCTCTGAAAGCTAAGCTCCTACCCTGCCGCAGAAAAGGGGGAGAAATAGCTCTCTCTCCTGTACAACCCACCTCTACAAACACGCGCACGCATCTCTACACTCTCTACACAACTGAAAAGCAAAGTCTGACGATATTGAGAACCACTGGCCTCTACCTGGCCGTTAATAGGAGAGCGGAGAGCACGGAATGTCCTCGTAAAAGCGAGCGAGAGGGACGGCGAGATTGAAGGGGATAGACGAGGAGGATACGGATGCCTGGCTGGTGTTTAAAGAAGGACACTCGATATAGGAGGCATTGTACCCGGTTATACCGTCAGCCGTTCCAGGTGCTGGAGGGCAGTCGGCTCTCGTCACGGGACGGGCATATACGCCTGTGCATTTCCTCTCTCCGTATCTCTCTCTCTATATACACACATACGCAACTTCTAATCTATACACAGTTTCACTTTAATTAACCTGAAAAAAAAAGGAACAAGTATCACAGAAAATTTCGTTAAGAATAAACGCGCGCGCGTGTGTGTGTGCGTGGGACAATTTTTCACGTGTAACTTTTCAATTAGGATAAGAAACCACGATCTGTGTGTCCTTTTCGCGGATCGTCTTAGTTGGCGTGCCTGTTGTGTACCGGGGCACGCACAGCCGGCGCGAAGCGCGCGCTAGTGGGAGAATCAGGAGTGAAAGAGAGAGAGAGAGAGAGAGTGTACAAGGGGAGGAAAGAGTAATACAGCTGGCTACGGGTAGAAAGAGAAGAAGAGAAAGAAAGAAAGAAAGGAGGGAAGAAGAAGCGACAGGGACGGCTGTGTATCGCGTGTGCCGGTCTGCAGTGCGACATTCGACGACAC